TTTTGCTCATTTTTGTTCCACAAAAGATAACTGCTGAAGCAAATAAAACTGTTTTATTATTATTATATTACAGTTATGAAGATCAAATCATCCAGAAGTACAAAACTAATCTTTAGTTTTGTAATCTGCTACTAATCTGCTTTTTTTTTTTTTCAACAGGTTAATTCACATGATATAGRGGTTAGCCTGCCTTTATGTTTTTAAGCTAAGTTCATGCTGGTTACAGGAAGACACCTGATCTGGCATAAAGCTAGCCAGTACAAAACTCACCTATCAAGTGCTTCTGATCACATTTGCTGAGGAAGTTAGTGCCGGGTCAGTGCTGTGTTGCAGTCCTTCTGATCTAGCACAAAATCCTAAACCTAGGTGTAATCTGTTATTAAACCATGGCCTAACAAACAAGGGATGGATTTGCAGAGATGCAAAAACCATTGGCTTGAGGTGGGATTGATCGGAGGCAGGGAATAAAAGGAGTAAGACAGTCCAGTATTTGACGACGGGCAAAAAATAACTGGAAAAGACAGTAGCTCCTCTCTGAATGAGCTTTGGTGTCCAAAGGCAAGAAGGTTGGTGAGAGTGAAGAGAAAGAGCAAATGTTGCCTGAAAGGTCTCTGGAAAAGATTTGAGGCATTCATGTCAAAAGATCTTGGAAGGCTAATGACRTTTGCATTTTGGACAGTGGCCTTTCCCTACCACTCCTTGCACTTCTTGCAAGTGGAGGATATATATGTATGAAGATGATACATGTATCATGAGCGAACTCTTATCTTTTTATGAAACAAAATGTGGGTTTGGTGGCCTGTCTGAATGGGTTTAGGCTGACGTGCTGCCAAAACTCTCCTTCACATGGCAAGTGGTGTGTCCTGCCTTGTGAGTGTCTGTCTGTAAAAGTGTGGATGTGGAGACACTGGGAGGTCATGGAACAGCAGCCAAAATGGATCATCACAGAGCAAATCCAGGAGCACCACTGGAAAGCACAACTGCCTTTGCACTACACAGAGAAAAAGTGCCTGGCTCTGCATTATGATAATGCTTTACTGAGGGGTGGTGCTCTGCAGGCTATGTATTTCTTTTTAATTTGATGGAAAAAGCTTTTGTGTGCTGTGATGAAATAGGAAAGGCTGAAAGCTTTACTGTCTCAAGGTTAATTGTGATCAGATCTTTGGAGCAATTAATTTTAACGCGGGATGAGAAGCACAGGCCAGGATGGAGAAAGGGCAGGCTGAAGAACATTCAGATGTCAGAAGTGTTCTGGTTAGCCGGGTGAGGTGAATCCAGTTCACAACTTAAGAAAGTTCCCATGGCAATTGTTAACTATTAGTGATCATCTTCAGATGCTCCTGGAGGAGCAAGAGGTCCCAGAGCCTTAGAGGAGCTTGTACATAATAACTGGCTTTAGAAACTACCGGTATTTAAAAAGAGGCAAAGGGAAAACAACACACCAAGCAGCCTGAGACACCAGGCTAAACATTTAAAGCACCAGCTAGGTATTAAAGTGCTGGAGAAAGTCATTTTGGATGTGACCAGAACAAATCATACCTGCTACACCTATTTTTAGGTGTTTACTGATCTGGTACACAGAGAAACTGGGAAGATAGCCTATTTCTTGATGCAATTCCAGCTGCTCATACGCAAAACAAAAAACAGCTTTGATTAATGCTCAGAAGGTGGATGCACTGCTTGTAAAACTGCTGTCAAAGTACCATTATTGGTGTTTTGGGGTTCAAAGTGAGTGGGCATTGTAAGCTGGAGCTCAGTGCAGCTTGTTCTATTCAATATTTATATTGATGTTTTGAATTATGACTATTATTTTTTGGTCTAAATTAATGTGAGGAAGGTAAACTTGTTTGAGGAGGGTTTTAAGAAATGCAGGAGACCTAATCATGTTTAAAAATGTTTTTATTTGATGGAGAAATATCTGATTTGAACCAATGAAACACAAGGAAGAAAAGGCAAAAGTATTATACATAAGAAAAAGTGAACAAATGCTCAGGTATTAAATGTGAAAGGCAGAAAAACATCAAGAGGTTTCAGGGTTAGGATCAGTCACAAACTACAGATGAACTCAAAGTCTGATGGTGTATCAAAGGAGACATTTCATTCTGGGATGTGCTGCTACATATAAGACATGGAAGTAGGGTCTTAAGTTGGCAAATTGGGTTCCATTTTGATCAGCAGAATCCAGAGCAGAAGCAAAAAAAAATTGACCAAGAGCTGGCAAACACGACCTCTGAAGGAAGGCTAAGACATATATTTAGTCTAGAAAAGAATTAAGGAAGGAATTAGATGGTATTAGATGGTAGATAATTATTTCCAGTGCCACTAATGCAACGGAATGAGGAATCAGGTCAAAAGTGAAGCCAACCAGGTCTGACTTGGATATCAGGGAAAATCTAACAAAAGGTCAGTTATGCTTTAAAACAGTTGTTTGGTGCAAGAATAGCTTCTTCAGTTGGACAAAGTCAAGCCACTGGACTAGAGAGTCTCTTCTGGACCCTCCTGGGTTTGTGTTTTTATGCTGCTAAGATCCTATGACTTATCCTTTCCTGGCAGAATGCAGCAAGACACAGGCCCACGATTGCTAACGATGAGCGTGATGCAGAACTCACTAGGAAGGTACTAAAGTGATTTTGTGTCATCTTCTCAGCCAGCGTACACTGACCCAGCTGCCTGCCTATGTCTGCCCAGCACTACGGATGCCAAGTTCCAGTAGCTCCCAGGAATTTGTTGATTTTCCAGCCAAATCCCTTGCAGCTCTTGTTTGGAGCCCAGGCATCACTGGACTGGCTCAGCACCAAGAGCAAATCATGCAGTAACAGTGTGTGTCTCCTGTGGCTGGTAATGCAAGTGGTGCTGCTCTGGCAACACACACCAAGCAGGGCCAGGGAAATGTGCCCTGAATGCAATCTCACTGAGAGTCTGTTGGGATAACTACTGCACTGTTAAGATATAAATAGCCATATGTATTTATATGGCAAAAAGAATTACACTCACACATAAAATATCATTCCAAAATAAGGAAAGATAAATGGCTTTCCATCTCAGGTTGCCCACATCTACAGCTCTTTTCCTCACATTTCCAACTCTTTGCACTTCCCATCCTCCTTTTTTGCCTTCCTTCATGCCTTGTTCAAGGTCCCTCTCTTTTCACCCTCAGTTCAAAGTATCCAATTTGCATCCAACTGGAGCCCTTTGTGGCCAGGCTTTTAACTCCTCTATTTCCTCTTCCTAGTAGTTGCAGTCCTGTGCCTCCCATTCTTTCCTTCCTTGCGCTGGGAATTTAGTGTTTCCATGTCCTCATACTCCATGTTTCCTTCCTCCATTGCTTAGTGGAAGCTGGCGACATCCCTTTTTACTGATATTTCATGTTTTTAGCATGCCAGGACTCTCCTGTCTCTCCTTTCTTCCTTTCCCTCATACCTTTCTCATTTTAGGACCAGGGAAGGACACTATCCTCTTTTCTTCCCGTGCTGCTCCTATACTGCTTCTCCTTTCTCTGCACTTCAGTGCAATTTCATCCTGTTTAGGAAGGGTAGGAAGGGAGTGATTGAAGACACCACTGTTGAACTTTGCTGAAAGAGTGGGTAGAGGTCAGACATAGGATATTGCTACCTTACAAAGTGCCAGTGGGTTCCATGACTTCCACCTACATGGACCTCCACATGGTGACCACTTGAGTTTTATATTGACCTCCAAAAATGGCATCCTGACGACCAACGCTGGAAGCCCTGGAAATAAATTACCAACCCTCTGACTGAAGGAAGATCACAACATTTTCCTGGGGCTATTGCTTGTGTCTCAAAGGCAGAGAGTGTCCCACACCAGCAGACACACCTCCTTGAGTCAATCTGAGCCTTCTCAGAGTCTGTATCATGCCGGACATGGGTGAAGGCCCCTTGTTTGCTTTGCAGACCCCAGCACTAGTGCTTCCTATCTTGCCAGAGCCCCTTGGAACCATTATTTTAATGAACTTTACGATGGTGAAGATCTTTGAGAGAATTGTAACTTCTGATGCTGAAAGGTAATATACCACTTAGTATTCACCTGTCCTGCACCTGGTTTGCCTTGCTTAACACACATATTTGATTGGGTGCCTTCTGACAATGCACACAATTGACTACCTGTATTTTCATTTATGCATGGGAAAGCTTATATATAAAAACATAAATTAAAATGGGATCCTGGGGTGCATTAAGAAGAGCGTCTCCAGCAGGTCGAGGGAGGTGATCGTCCCCCTGTACACAGCCCTGGTGAGGCCACATCTGGAGACTGTGTCCAGTTCTGGGCTCCCTAGTACAAGAGGGATGTGGAGCTGCTGGAGAGAGTCCAGCGCAGGGCTACAAGGATGATCAGGGGCCTGGAACATCTGCCCTATGAGCAAAGGCTGAGGGAGCTGGGCCTGTTCAGCCTGGAGAAGAGAAGGCTGAGGGGGGACCTGATCAGTGTCTATAAATACCTCAAGGGAGGCAGTGAGGAGGAGGGGCCGGCCTCTTTTCAGTGGTGACCAGCGACAGGACTAGAGGAAACGGCCACGAGCTGAAGCACCAAAAGCTCCACAGGAACTTAAGGAAACATTTCTTAACAGTGAGGGTGCCAGAGCCCTGGMACAGGCTGCCCAGAGAGGTTGTGGAGTCTCCTTCTTTGGAGATCTTTAAAACCCGCTTGGACACAGCCCTGTGCCACGTGCTCTAGGTGACCCTGCGTGAGCAGGGGGGTTGGACTAGATGACCTCTGAGGTCCCTTCCAACCTGAAGCGTTCTATGATTCTATGAAAAATATGGGTATAATCAATCAATACAGAACAGAAAATGGCCTCAGAGGCAGCCCGCGGGCTCCGGCAGCCATGGCGCG